ATGACAATGTCCTCAGTGGAGAAAGAAACTTCATCATTGCAATCCATAAGCTGTGAGCTGCAGTTCGTTAACTGTTTTCATAAAACTCCTAACCAAATAAATAAAAAACCTTCTTATGCAAAAGTCCTTTACTGTATGTGGAAATACGCGAACAGTTTTTATCAACAACTTAAGCTGACCCAGGCCCTGAAGCTGAAGCATGGGATAACTACATTATGTCACTCCCCCTCCTCCATGTCACCCTGCAAAACCAATATGTGGGAGCACAGACCATCCCTGATTTCCCTTGTGCAAGTGGAGCCTGCCCCAGTAATGATAGATGGTCTTTCTGGTTGTGTGTTCCATGCCAGCAATGCAGCAGTATGAGTCTACTCCTGGGAAAATGGATCACCTTTGGCCTTGCAGATGTTGTGCAGTGCACAGCTGGCCACGATAGTATGGATAGCACTGACAACACTGGCATCCAAATGGTCCTGAAGGCACGGCTAGCTAGATATCACTCTACCAAATGCACATTCCACCACCATCCAACAGCTACTGAGCATGTAGTCAAACCTTCTTTTGCCAGGGCGTCTGAGATCAGGGTGCGGTTTCATAAGCCATGGAAGGAGGGGATACGTGAGGTCCCCTAGAATAACAGTGGGGGCAGAGACTCCATTTATAACAATGTCATTTGGAAGGAAAAATGTCCCAGCCTGTCCGTGAAGGTAAAGTCCCAATCTCCAGAAAACCCTGGCATCATGCACCTTGCTAGCACATCCCATGTTGGTGACCATGAATCTGCCCCAATGGTCGATCAGGACCTGCATACTGATGAAGTAGTACCCTTTCCAGTTTATGTACTTATGTGCTCCTTGGGAGGGCAAACTATGGGCACACGAGTCTCATTGATAGACCCACCACAATCGACTTGCCAACACCAAACTTATTAGCCAGAGAACTGTAGCAATCTGGGGTAGCCAGCTTCCAGATGGCTACAGCGACCTGCTTCTGGACCAGCATGGGCTCCCCTCATGCCTGTGTCCTGTTGCTGGAGGGTCAGGGCAAACTGTTTGGATGGCTCCAGGAATGTCTGCTTCTTTATGCAAAAGTACTGGAGTCACTGCTGGACATCTCAGGTCTGAATGAGAATGTGATCCCACCAGTCTGTGCATTTGGTCCTGCTCCAACAGCACCAGGCTCTACATGGGGTATCTATGGCTATGACAACAGGCATGAGCAGCATCAGCTGGTTTGCAGATGCCATGTCTGTACCCTCTTCCAAGAGGGACCTTTCATGCTGCCAAAAAGTCCACCAGCATCTCACAAATGCACTGCCTGATTCCTGAAATAGGAGTGCAAGCACAAGCAGGAGACGTTCTTCCACCGGCACTGGATCCATGTTGCTAGTTCCGGTTGCAGGGAAATAGCTAAACTGGATGGGCCAATGGGCTAACAGCATTTCCAGGCTGTGCCACAGGATGACCAGACAAGTTCTCCCATAGTACACCATGAACCAAGCCCGAGTGCCGCCACAGCTAGCATGGGCACTAAGAACCCTGGGAGATGTCCCCAGAAGCCACAGTGTCTAACTCGTGTCTGCGTAATGCAGTATGGAGGTGTCAGCACAGCTATGAGGCTTGCATAGCAATGCAGTATGGACGCTCAAGCGTAAGCTTGGAAAGAATGAGTCTGCAGGCATGGGTCATGCAGATCTGGGTTTACTATGTAGGGCAGACATACTTCTAGAGGTCCCATTTGAGTGATGCACTGGACAAACATAAAGAAAAGATAATCCTGGTCCCAAAGAACTTACGTACAATCAAAGTATAAAATTAGAGACTACGAGTGAATACAACAAACAGACAAGGTAACAGTGAGTTATGATCGCTGTAATAGGCAGTAGTCACAGCACACATACAGAAGGCATGCGCCACAGTGATGGCTGAGGTTTTTAATGGCACCATTGACATAATATGAACTAAACATTTAATATTCTCAAAGCAAAGTCTAAGCTATTTATCAATGGGGTATAGATGCACAATATGACTAAAAGAGCATTCATTTTAAAGTACATTTCTTTCCTTCCTATAAAAATGTTCCATTTTGCCATTTCATACCTAAGACTTTCCCATGCCCCACCTACTGAAAGATGGTGAGAGAGGGTAAACCATTATGTAGGTTAAAGATATTCATTAGATAAGCAAGACTCACTGAGGACCACTGGCTTTTTCCTCTGAGTGAGGAAGCTTTTCTTTTTGAGAGGTGTATTTTGTGGAAATTATACAATTTTCTAATGCTAGGATTGATTTGGGTCTCTTGAGGCCTCACTACACTCTGAACTCATGGAGGCATTCAGGGTAAGATCTTAACATTTGATGTGACTGTTCCAGGAAAGAAAAAGATGGATCTCCTGCACAGAGAAAAGTTAGATGAAGGTCATATAAAATCAACCAGCAGCAGTGCAGTAATGTTCGGTCTCCTTTGTGTGCCTGATATTGATGCCCCATCTTTCAAAGCCCTATGACCACCAAGAGGACATCTAGTCTTGAGTCTTGTTTCCACTTTTGTGTTGGTAATTTTAACAAAGGAGGGTTTAAAACAATATTTTTAAAATTGGGGAGCTGAATTCGCAACTGTAGGATCCTAATTAGGACATCTTTTTTGGAAACTTGCATCAGGCACCTAGCTGCCTTAATGATGGGAGCCATATAGTGGTGTGGAGTGATATACCATGTGTATAGTCCAAGAGCTATCCTGACGTCACAGGGTAAGAAACTACACCTAGATATTATGATGCATGGTGTCCTATATATACCTAGAAGATAGATTAGGAAAGAAGGCACAGGGCAGGCAGTGGGGGTTTGCAGTCCTTCATAGATCTTACCATTTGACTAAGGACTTTGTCTACATGGTGTGTCAGTGGACACTAGCTGGGGTATAAAGTCTACTGTGCATCAGCATATCATGCACTAACCAGCCTGCATGGACCCTGCTGGTGTGCACTAAAAGTTCCCTCGTGCACTTAATTTGAAGTTTGAAATGGCAGCGTCCACATGGGCCAATTAGTACACACGAGCTGGAGTATAAATTCCAGTGCAGGCCAGCGTGTCTCGCGCACTAACGCACTGTGTAGACAAGGCCAAAAAGTAGCATGTGGCTTTGCTGGCTGGTACCCTGATGGCACTTTTTAGCTGGCACTCCAGGGCACCTTGGAATCAAGGTGTGTGGGCAGACTTGTCTAAGAAGTAGGTACCATATGACTGAACTATTCATTACAAACATTGGGTCTGCCTGGCCCCTTTGGCAGTCACTTCCACCTGTACCAAGTAGGTGTAAAAAGCTACCAGTTCAGAATGATAGGATTTTGCAGCCACTTGCACAGATATAAATGACTACACAAGGAGCAAGGCAGTGGAGAATCAAACTGGAAGGTTGTTACAATTTAGCGTCATTTTTGGTTTAGTGAACCATTCCTCAATTGATCCTGATTTCTGCAAATGTATTCATAATACATAGGCATTCTCTGATAAGTTTGGATGAATCAGTTCTATTCTAGGGCTTGTTCAGGAATTGTTTGCTTTGCATATTTGAAACTACTCTTTAATTATTTGTGAAGTGGAGTTCTGTGCCCCTGCCGATTACTGGGGGGAGGGGCATGCCCTTGCTTCCCCCTGCCCCTTGTGCATGCCCCTGCTTTTGGCAAGTGCTGAAAAAATTGCCCTCTCTGAATAGACTGTTTAAATTCAGAATTTTTCCCATAGAAGACATCTCAACATTCAGCAATATTTTATAGCACCAGCTAAAGATTTTTAGGAACTGATGTGGCAGGCATAACAATAACAAAATACACAGGTATTTGGCAGGAAATAGTTTGTGATCTTTGTACCTACCTGGTTCTGTATCCTTCCAGAAATCCTTTCCCCCCCAAGACCTACCTAACAAAACATGAAAGTTTGAATGTTCTGAGCACGTCATGCCACCCCCCCATCCCAGCTTTGAACAGAGAAGTAAGAATACATTCATTCTAGAAGTGCACAGATAGCCTATTTTCACAATGTCAGGTTTATTTTAAAATGTTCTTCATTGCAAACATTGATAACACACCCAGCAGAATTTATTGTAACCAAAGATTCAGTAATGGCTAAAAAAAGAGACAACATTCAGTGTAGTCCAACCCATGGTATAATGAAAAATAAAAAGCCAGTTTCCACAGCAAACTCCCTACAAAACCCAAATATTACTCATCTGCATTGGATTCCAGTCTGTGTTTAGTCTGCCCTTGGAATGAAGCATATTCGTCAAGAGCTTTGAGAATTGAGCTTATACATATACAGTGAAACAGTCTATAAATGAAAAGAGAACAGTGAACACTCTTTAGCACCAGTGCTTATGTGTTAGGGCTTGCATGGTTCTGCCATTGCAGGTATATTGTACTGATTCTACTGCAGAGATAGATTTTTAAAAAATTCTGTGTGGATCTGGCACTTAGAAGGCAAACCGTCCTTTGCAAGAATCTAGACATCTTTGAACCATATATTGCAGTTTGATGCCTATCTTTGAAGTGTGTGTAACAGAATAGCTTTTTAAATGTGTTTTCTTGCAAAGATAAATATTTTGCTTTGCTTTCAGTTTGCGGCATTATTAGTTACAAAAGATTTGCCTCTTGAGATCAGTGCAATTTTCTTAGTGCTATTCTAAAACTAAGCGTAAACTCTTTGTTTAAGGAGTAGAAGAGAAGACAAAATTAGTACACTCTCAGTACGTTTTGTAAATTCGTTTCTGGCAGCAATACATCTACATAAATACCATGTTCATAATTAGTGAGATGCAAAAAAAGGCTTTTGTCAGAAATAATTAAAAAGGGGTTAAATAAAAAAAAAGCAAAAAAGGAGTGTCAGATACTATACTGGAATCAAATCAGTTTGCCCAGGGAGAACCAAAGTTGTCCATTGGTTAATTTCCCAGTATTAAAATCATCCCCCTAAAGAAGCCCCCTATCTCTTTCAAGCCTTGTATCTTTTCTCATCACAGCTAGTCTCCTAGCTCCAGTACAAGCATGCTGACCATAACTCCACATTTTTTTCCATATAAGACAGAGTCCTCCCTCCAGCTGTGAGGTAGTGATTGGGTACCAGGTCACTGGGTATCAGATACCATCAAACGTAGCAATTACACATTTGTTTCCAGTTCATTGATTTCAATAGCGCAGTGGTCTTTACTGTTGGATTTCTTTGTGTGGTTCTCCGCTGGGTTTAGTTCTTGCTCCACTTGTATAGGTATGTGGTGCTGAAACGCTTTCACTGTTTCTGGTCCATGAGACTCACTCATGTTCTTCACACAACCATTTCTCTGGTAAGCCATGATTTGATGAATGCTGATGGGTTTAGTTTCACAGATCAATGGCACCTGTGTGGGAAACAGCAAGATGCTGCATATTATCACTGCTAAACACAGGCAATGAATCCCATCCTAATGATGCAGATAGGCACCTAGTGCAATTGGCAAAAAATGCCTATGCAGGTTGGACACCTAATTCCCAGTGAAAGTCAATGGGAGTTAGGTGCCTAACCTGCATAGGCACTTTTCCCCAACCCTCCCCTAGTTGCCTATTTGCATCTTTAGGCACCTAAATACTTTAGTAAATCTGGCCCTTGGTCCATCAGCAGAACTGTTGTTATCACTGGAAGTTCAACCATTCTTCAAGGCAGTATATGTCCCTTTGCTTAGAAAAGGGATGAATGGCTAAGTGAATGGCTATTTATATTCACCCTGGGCCCGATTTTTAAAGATATTTAGGCACCTAAAGATGCAGATAGATGTCTAATGGGATTTTCAGAAGCTCTACCAGCATCTTTAGGTGTCTAAATATCTTTAAAAATCTGTCTCTCCCTATTCCTTCCTGCATGAACGAGAGACAGCTAAGAAACTTAAATGTAAACAAATACAAAGAAGAAAAAAGGAAAAACTACTTATGAAACATATAATCAACCGGCAATCAGTGTTCATTGTCATAGGATTTGATCAATGCAAATAATTTAGTAAGATCCTCAAAAGAGATGAGTAGGGAAAACGCCCACAGTTAGACTACCAAGTTACAAGAGTTACAAACCCTAATGTGTCTGGGCCAGATGGAGTCATGTACAATACTGCATTATCATGGGGCTCCTCCTTATTGTCTACTGATGCTATGAGGGCTTTTGTCTTTCTCTGAAGTATAATGTAGAGGCTACTGCTGAGCCAAGACACCAGATTGAATAGACCATTGGTCTATCTATGCTTTGGTACCTCCTTGCCTCCCTGTTACCAACCTACTAGACCTCTGAGCTAACATAAGTTTTTCCCTCTGTGCTGTTTCAAAGGAAAAGAGGATTTTATTGATTGATTTCACAAGTAATGTGCTGAAATATCCTTAAAATAGAAACCAAGATGGTCTGATGGGGAAAACAATACGCAAATATTGGCAGAGGGAGGAGGTGGGCTTGCAGCTGAGACAACCTGCCCTTTGGGTATATATGACTAACTACACTAAATGTGCAGCCAAAACATAAAGACGACTAATGGTATGTTTTAAGATGGTTATTGAGTGCCAAGTAGAAAATAAATCTCCCTGCAAACAAGTTTACAATCCTTCAGGGGAATTGGGTTATATATTTGAATGGAATACGATGCTCCAGGACAGAGTTTTAAGAACCTTCCTCCAAAGGAAAATAATAGTACTAAATACTGTAATAAAATGTCAGGAGTCCTGTATTCGTCAGAAGGTGAGACTAGATGATCATAATGTTTGTTTCTGGCCTTATAATGGATTAAATATGTTTCTGTTAGTCTGTATGCTTCAAAAAGGCTCCTAGTTTAGCCAAGGTTTTAAGGGCTCCATCCTGTGATCAATGGGAGTTGAGGGTGCTCAGCACCTCTCAGTAGAAGACCCTAGCTAACAAAACATGAAAGTCTGAATGTTCTGAGCACACTGTATCAAGCCGTGACAATGGGATTCTCCAGAAAGATTAGGCAGTAAAATGGGAGAAATGATCAATAATAATTTACTATTCTTATTTGTATTATTTAGTTAAGCTCTGCATGAGCTGGATGCTATGCAAGACCTAGAAAAACACACAGTCCTGCCCCATGAAGAGCGAGAGAGAACCACTCAGTTACAAGCTGTCCTGGCTGAGCAGAGGAAGTTTATTGGGGGCACTCCAATTAACAGACGTGATTGGGAACTAACACTTAGGTGGACTAGTAGCAGTAGGGCTGGTAGAAGAAATCTGATTTAGAAAGGGATTTGAATGAACAGGGGTCACCTTTTGGACCAGGAGTGGGCGTTCCAGGTGTAAGGAGAGGCATGGAAGAAAACACCAAGAGAAGAGTGGGAGAAGGAAACAAAGGGAGTAGAGCACAGGGACTGTGAGAAGAAGTAAGAGGAAAGAAAAGCAGAGATGTAAGCAGGGGCTTGTATGTGATGTAGGAGGGGTGAAGATGCCAGTGGAGGGATTTTAGAAGGGAGTAACATGTTCGCAGTGTTGGAGGGAGGAAGATTATTTTAGCAGTGGGTGTTGTGAGCAGTTCTACCATATTCACTGTGATCATGAACATACTCTTCATTTGCCCTTTTCTGCACATGCACAAAGATGGTTGCCATCTTGCTTCTGGTCATAATTTCACAATCTGATTTTTTGTGCCAGAGTGGCTTTTTGCATGATCTGATTTTTATTTTTTTTTTAAAAAGCATTGTCCCAAAACTTCACAAGAAAACAAAATGTTGGGAGTTGTGAACTAATCCAAAATGGAAAGAGAAATGTCATGGATAAAATTTCATGGAAAAAACTTCTGACTTTTGTAGAGCTCTATTTACACCCCTGGCCCCATTTAATTCTTATATACGTATTCCTGAGGGTCCTACATGTGGCACATGGCATTTTGTGCAATGCGCTATAGAGCCCACAACATAGTGTTCTGGGTTTTCTAGTGGTACAGTATTCAAACAAATACCTTGCACTGTAGGGTCATACTCTTGGGAATGACTTTAAAAAGCCATGACTCTGACACTACCTGCTTAGTTAGGTGATGGTGCACAGTGATGAAATCCAACTGCTATCCTATATTTGGAGATACTTCCTTTCCCCACCTCCAGAGTTTAAAATATCATCCCTCATTAAAGGGCAACAATCAATTGTTTAAACTCCATAATGTATCTTCTGTACTTTCCTAAAAAAAAGGTAAATCCTTTACACGAATGCTACAAATATTACCTACTTTTGCATTTTGATCCATAGCCTAATTTTGTTCTTTCCATTAATATAAATTTAATCCAGAATAAATGAATGTGAGAAGTTGATGTTTAAAATATTTTTATACTGACAAGGAGTTCATTGCTCCAGACTGACTCATTTTGTCTTGTTCTTACCTCATCACCATCCTTGGTGAACTCCTTTCTGCAGACATGAGCCATGATTCCAGCAGCGAGGGCATCTCCCAAGACATTGATCATTGTTCTAAATCTGTCTCTGACAAACAAAACAGTGGTGTTAGGTGACAGGTGCTCCATCTTGGAAATAGTCATACCTGCAACAGGTACATACTGATTAAACATTTTAAATATTTAGAAAAAATCAACTCAAGTATAAGCATTGCTGTTTTCTCCACAATCTGTGAGCTATTTGCCTCTATTAATAGTATTGTATTTGAGTATTTAGATATTAAAAATTCAGAATATTGTCTGATTTGGGGACTGATCCTGCAAAATGCCAAGTTCCTCAACTCAAGTGAGTTGAGGGCAATCAATATCTTGCAGGTCCCTGATAAATGAAGAATCACAGCACCCAGAATGCTGGATAAGGAGATCACTGTGTGTAGTACAGTCTGCAATTTGCCTCTTACTCTCTTCCAGAACAACATACCCAAATAACAATGCTTTCCTAGCAATATCAAACTAACGGGAAACAGTCAACTCATATCACACTCCTGTCTGAATACACCTTACCTGCTATTGTTACAAGTAACACTTAAGACTAGGACAGAAAGAAATGAGAGAGAATATTTTCAGTTTATTGACTCTGTGCATTTGACAGCATCTTGTGTATAATAGATTTCACGATTCTCATATCCTGGGATCAATTTCAGTGTTCTCCCTGTTTAGTCAGTTAATCAATCTGTTTCTCCCTGTTTGTACAGGTCTCTCACACAGCAATGCTAAGAAAAAAATATTTTTTAAAAATGGATTGTAAAACCACAAATATTGATGGGACTCACTGACAAGGGTAGTATCTGAAACTACTTTTAATACATTATTTCCAAGTGACAATACACCTCTACCCTGATATAACGCGACCCGATATAACACGAATTCGGATATAACGCGGTAAAGCAGTGCTCCGGGGGGTGGGGGAGCTGCGCACTCCGGTGGATCAAAGCAAGTTCGATATAACGTGGTTTCACCTATAACATGGTAAGATTTTTTGGCTCCCGAGGACAGTGTTATATCGGGGTAGAGGTGTATTTCAAGTTAGAGAGACAAGGTAGGTGTGGTAATACTTCTCCCACCTTGTCTCGTTTATATCCTGGGACCAATATGGCTACAACTACACTGCATGTATTTCAAACTAACCGTATCCTTTTGTGAGTGAAAGACATTGAAAACTGTATCATATTGGTAACTTAATTTATGAATTTGTATAATAAAACTGAGATTCAGAATCATTCAGATGTTTGGCTTATAAAAGTGAATGAAGGTCCACTATCATACTACTCAGATTTCAAAGCATATAGAACACAGTGGATTTAAACTCTATGGGCCAGACTTTTCATACACTTTATGCATGCTTAATTTGTATGCCTAATTTGCAAGCCTAATTAGATGCACCTGCATGCAGTTATCCAAATTACATCTACAATTACAGTAACTACACATGAAAATTGCATGTCCACTGCACTTGAAAATCTGGACCTAGATGTGTCTATCCCTCTTAGCCTTAACTTACTGCTTTTGACTCTGCTTTGATGAAGAGCTTCACAAGTAAAAGTAAAATGCAAAAATATAGTTACAGCAGGTTTTTGCAGGAGGTGCTATTACAGTCTTACAAGTTTTTTCTTAGCTTGTGAACAAGTTTTGACTCTTGGAAAGACATGTTGGATCGTTAGTTTTGGATTCTGCCTAGAGGCACTTTGAGTAAGAAGAAGCTATTTTGGGGTCTGATAAGAGGGTATATGTAATCAGATACAAAACTTGTACTCAGCATTTTAACAAAGTAGGTAAGAAGTGTGTGGGGGGGTTTTCTTGGGCACTGGATAAAATTATTAAATTCACGTACCCACTAAGGTTACCTAAATGAGTTGTTGTACAAGTAGTACAACTAATGCATTGTAATGGAGATTTCAGTACTATCAGATCACTTAAGCAACCTTTATGTTTTTCTACCCCCAAATGTAATGATGAAAATATTTGTAAAGCTAACCACAATATAAACAGATCAGTTCACTTTGCATCTATAGGTTTATGAAACTGCCAAGCACTAGTCCAAGAAATGTAAGTATGCCCTTCTCACTCAAGGTGACCTGCAAAGGAAAAAAAAATTGGGCATGCACCCGTCTTTGATTTTTGTATAGTGTAGAAAGAGCCTGAAGTGGTTTTTTGTTGTTGTTTGTTTTAAATTTCTGCTGGTTTTACACTAGAAATTCAAGTCTTGTCTAGGCTGAATGGCTCTGATGACTGGATAAATAGTGAAATGGTGACTTTACAAGTATTGAGGCAGAACTGAGTAATTGAGAGGGGAAGAGCTTTTTAGTCAGAATGTTTAAACACCTTGTTTTTGTTGAGCTTTATTAACAATTAAAGAATGGCTTTGTTATAGATTCAACACCCTTGCCCTTTAAAGGTTAGAGGTCACAGTAAACATTCCTGAAACCTCCCAGAAGTTCTCCAGCAAAACCAAGAAAGGCCAGATTTGACATTCCTGATATTTTTGAAAGTAAAAAATAAGTGTAAAAAAATACTAAACCTTCAGGCTGTCTAAGCGTCATACAGAAACAAAAAAGGGCACAAGCCCAACTTTTTTTCCCTAATACTTCATAAAGTACTTTCAGTGTTGTAAGTTTAAATAAAATACAATGAATTTGTAATTGCACTTTTGTAGCATCTTGTGCAATGGATCTTTATTGTATTAAGAGGAATCATGAAGAAATGTTAAATTGTAGGACTTATTTAGAATAAAAGAAAAGCTGCTATTGTAAATAGAGAGAGGGTATTATATCTACTGGTATTATATTTATATAATCAGAACTGTTCAACTATGGCCTCATCTACACTGCAAAATGTTATCATGTCTGAGCATGAATGCCAACAGTTGAGTTAACTGATAAAATACTGAACTATTTAGATTATCTCTGTAGACCTGGCCTGTGCATTATCAGAGTTGAGAACTGAACTGCTCGTAATCTAGATACCAAAAACTTGAACAGTTTTGAATAATGAAGGATATGAAAGTTGAAATCTGCTCATGGACAATTCACAAAGAAAGAGCTGAAATTCAAAACAAATGACTGTATTTGTTATTAATTCAGCTAGCTCTGGCCATAGACTCTCTACTGCTAATGAAGAGTCTCCGTTAGTTTAGGTGCTTTCTCGAGTTCTATCCCTGCTGTCTCTGTGAAGTTCCCAGTGATTATGATGTGCAGAAGTGACAGCTGTGACGCCCTAAGCGTCTATGGATTGACATGCAGAGTACAGAAAAACAACTTGATTTGCAGATGGAAGGAAGGTTCAGACACTAAGTTACTTACAATGCCCAGTCAACTGCAATAATTAAAGTGATGTCATCGGTAGGCAGCCCAACTGATGTCAGAACAATGACCATAGTCACGAGGCCAGCTTGTGGGATCCCTGCAGCACCGATGCTGGCAGCTGTTGCTGTGATACTTGAAACAAGAAGAGGAACAATAAGATTTAACAGCCATATCACATGGCTGGAAATAACACACAGTAACAACGTATCTCTACCTGACTGTTTCTGGACCCGAATCACTCACACACAAACCACTGCAACAGGAGTTTATGAACTGTGATTAGAAATCAGCCAGATGGCTAGAATGGGGCACATTAGCCTGCTACACTTTCATCTTTTATCCCTACAGCCAAGTAGGTGAGCTCCAGTGGTCAGATTCTGCGCTGCACCTCTAAGTCATAGCATAGAACTTCTGACCTAAGGGAAGGGAGGGCTGCTAAGGTGGCTTTAAGCTACTTTTGCACCTTCCTGATTCTAGGCCGCTTTGCAGCCTTCAATGTAATTTGAAGAGTTGTGGGGGCCTGTCTCAGTGATGTCAGCCTGTTCCCAGAATCTCTTCAGTGCTGCATACTACAGACTTGCAGTTGATATACACCCACCCTCAGTGTAAACCCTATGGCAAGGAACGAACCTAATAGATGTTGTCTGTAGGTCCTGCACCAAGGGAACCCTCTCTGGCCAATCTTTTTATGCTGTTCTAGCCCTTCTAGACAGCATATATGGGCTGGAGTAGGGGTGAGGCTCTCATCCTAGATCCTGGCTTCATCTATTTGGGTCTAAGTATGAAGCAAGCAGGAATGATTTCATCCTCCTCTTATGTTTCTGGAAAATAGAAACCAGTCACTACTCCTGTTTGATTCTCATATTTTTCAGCCAGGCAGGAAGAGGGCAGGGGGACCTGGCAGACTTAAATTCCATCCTCTGGAAAAGAGAGGATAGTTTTGTGATTAAGAAACTAGGCTGGACCTCAAGACATCTGGATTCAATGTGTCTCTGCCACAGACTTCCCATGTGGCCTTGGGCAAGTCACTTAGTTTCTATATCTCTCAGTTCCTCTAATATTTCCTGTCTCCCATCCTTTGCCTGCCTCATCTACTTAGTCTGTAAGATCCTCAGAACAAGGACTGCCGCTCACTACGTCTTTGTACAGTATTTAGCAGGAGTGTCAGTCTCCAATCTTGGCTGGGGACTCTAGGCTCTATCACAATACAAATATTGAATGAATGAACTGAAAACTTCATTTTAATTTGACACTGAGTATTGAACCAAATGTCTGACTTCAAATAAGAAATGGGACTGAGTCAGAGTGTTTGGATCATGATCTAGGTGAGACAAAGCTTAGGTGTTTTCAGATTGAGGGTACCATTTTGAGTTCCTCTTCCCCATGTTCAGTGGGTGGGAGTCTCAGATCCAGGATTCTAGTTTGAGACCATCTCTGATACAAATATTAGTTTCCATGCAGACTTAAGCTCCCTACTACATATTTGTTCGGTGTTATATTTAATTAGTACTGTTTTGGAAAATGGATTCCCTTTTCCAGGAGCATAAATGATTGGGTATGTTCTTGGAAAGAGACAGATGGGAGGAAGAGAGCTAGGCCAGCTACTAGAAAAAGACAAAACATAAATATAAAGACAGTAAGTGGGTGACTTACTAAAGGAAATAGTAAGTAATAACCATCTGCGTTGATACAGTACCTGTCATCCCATGATTTCAAAATTCTTTACAAACATTAGTTAATTAAGCCTCAAACTATTATTATCCCTATTTTTCCAATGAGGAAACTGAGGTACAGAGATGTTAATTGACTTACTCAAACCCACACAATGAATCAATGGCACTAGGAGTCTTAGCTTTCCCACAATACATAAATAAATTCCTTATGTGGGCAGAGAGAGAGTGAAAATTGAGATTTATAAGCCATTTGAAAAAAATTAAAGCTTGTATGGCATTTGGATACCATGGTGGTGTGCCTAGCCTAAATAGAAAGGAATGTGATCTCAATGTACAAAATGGAAATGAAATTCAGTGGTGAATGTTACAGGTTCCCTGGACAGCTGATCAGGACACCAAACTATTTCAGAATAGAACCTCTGTGACTGGGTTGCCAACCAGGATTTAGACCTGCTCCTGCTCCCATTAAAGTCAGTGGTAAAACTACCAGTGACTTAACTGGAAGCAAGTATAGGGCCCTTAATTAGTAAGATCAGGGAATTCTGCTGTTGCTCATGCTATTTTTCAGGCCAACTTCACACAGTCAGCCACTAAACAGTGGCCCCAAATAGAGATGTTTGTTGGCATAATTACATTAAAAGGAAATTGGCAAGGCTAGGAGAGTGTCTTTAGTTCTTTCACTTCTACAGAGATGGCCTCAACAAGCCCCTGCAATCTTAGCCCCAGATCTCAATCCAGGATTGCAGCTCAACCCTATCTTCATAATAGGCCGAGTCAAATAAATAAATAAATAAATAATCAAACCAGAACATCCTGAAATTTGGGAATGTTCAGGGTGGATCCAGATTTCAAATCTCCCAGCGCGGGAGCATCTAAATCTAGAGAGTGTTTGTCCCATCATAGACCAATGATGTTTAGATTCAGTGGTGGAATGCAAGCTTAGATTTTGGTGTGGGGCCCGTCACTGTTAACGATCTGTTTTCTCCCTCTCTTTCCTTCCATTTTACCCTTGATTTCCCCCCTCTCTTTGATTTGTTTTTTAATCTTCCTATGTCCCTTTCCTCCTACTCTGGCTTTACTTATATCCCCTTATTTATTGGCATGAAGCCTGTGCTTGGCACATAAGCAGACATGGTTCTGCTCCGAGGAGTTTACAACATACATTCTTTCCATCTCCCATCATCCTTCTTGTTCTCTAATCTTCCAAATCACCCTTCCCATCTGCCTCTTCCATTTGGATGATTTTTATAACATACCACTTGTTTTTATCTTTGTTCTGGACCCATCTCTAATTAAAGTGTAACTGAATTATAGATCACAAAGGCTAAGGGTATGTCTACACAGCAGCTGGGAAGTGTGATTCCCAGCTTGGATAGACTTACATGTGCTAGTTCTGCATGAGCCGGTGTGCTAAAAATAGCAATGTGGCCTCGGCATCATGACAGGCAGCTTGGGCTAGCCACCCAAATATGTACTCAGGAGGGTGGCCAAGATTGCACTCAGGTGACTAGGCTAAGCCCCCTCCCATGACATTGCAGCCACGCACTATTTTTAGCATACGCTAGTTTGAGCAGAGCTAGCACATGTGTGGCTACTTGGGCTGTGAAATGTTTCTCCCAGCTGAGTAGACATATCCATAGTCCTGCACGTGACCATTCTCACTTTTAGTACAGGGCGAGAAGGCAACAGCTCATATGGGCCAGATTGATGTCTTTTTCTAATTTGACCAAACTTTCCCATTAATTCATAAGCAGACCCCAGTTATAGGAAGAAGCTAATTGAAAAAACTCTCTTGCTGTTGTCATTCAGGTCTTATACACACTAGAACTGAAGATGTGCAGGCCACAACAGTGTAAACATGCCCAGATATGATGGTGATGAGGTCAGAGGGTAGATGGTAGGTAGGTAGATTTCTAATGTGGTCAGGCATTACTCATTATATGAATGTTTTTCTAATCATTCATTCCTTGCTGGAAACCTGCAGGTTTCACTCCTGAGGCATTCTTTGGCAGGCAGTGAAATTATTCTGGCAATAGTTAACTGGTTGGAATTTTTTTTTCTATTTAGGATTGGTTATGCTATTTTCAAGAAGAAGGTATTAAATTATAAAATAAATTGATGGAGATATCCTGTTTCCTAGAACTAGAAGGGACCTTGAAATGCCTTCCCTAGCAGGACCAAGTACTGATTTTGCCCCAGATCCCTAAGTGGCCCCCTCAAGGATTGAACTCACAACCCTGGGTTTAATAGGCCAATACTCAAACCACTGAGCTATCCCTCCCCTGTGTTTAAAATATAGAATCTATAGTTAGTGCTCTCTAGCCAGTGAGAACTTGCTTGTTATTAAATTTGCTTTTACAAGCAGCAGTGGAAGTAATTTTTAAAACCTGAGCTACATAATGATTTAGAGGAAAACTACACACAGTGTATGTTATTTCTTTTCCTATTATATTTCCTGTCTCAAGTAGCCTTCCACCCAAGCTGTTCAGCACTTCCTGAATGTTTGCCACCTCTCTTTCAGAAGGAAGGGATAATTAATTATTCCAGTTTTAGCTTAAGGCTGACAAAACCCCAATGAGAAAAAATAGGACTTTTTTTTTTTTTATAAAACACACACAGAAAATATGTGGAGTGAGACTTTGTGCTGCACCCCTAAGAGGCTCAGCACAGAATTTACAGGCCAGGGGTTGAGGAAACTATGATGGCTTTAAACCACCTTTGTGCGTTTCGCATGCTGGGGGCTGAAGAGGCCCATTCTGTAACTTAAATAGCCCTGGGGGTGTAAATTACAGCAGCCTCCTTGGGGTTGCCCTATGGGCCATGCAGTGGAATCTCTCTGCCATGCTTCATTCCTGTTGTGCCTGGCATCCCCCTTTTTTATGGAGACCTCTGAGGGGTCCTTGGGAAGCAACCTTACAGCTGTCTTCCGTACTGCCTGCGCTTGATGAATCCTCCCCTGGTCCGCTGTGCTACTTAGGGTTGCTGATTGCTGCACTGGCCCTCCTGTGGTGTAAAGGCCCGAGCGCTTTGCTGAGGAGCTTACCATTTAAGTTTACAATGTTGAAAGTTATTTGTGGAGGGAAGGAGCCGGTGTGTTCTTAACATCCCCATCCTATGCACTGGAAGTGCATCCCCAACAGCACAGGGATTTGGAGGGGTTCGTTTTTTATAGGATTCAAGGGGGGAAAATTAAACACTGTGAGCAACAAAGTTGTAATCCTAAGTGAATGAGCTACAACTGGCCTAAAAGCGAAGGATTTTAAAAAAGCCAGTTTAACCAATTGAAATGCGATATATTTCTCTGTTCACGTCTGTTTTGATAGTGCTAATAAGATTTCCCTCCACACTGGCCCTGATCTTACAGGAAGCTTTGAACTGAACATTGCAGAGGCAGTAATGTGCTTGATACACAAATGAGAGAACATCACAGATTTAATGAGTCAAATGGAAAGGTTGCTGGGTTTTGGGGTTTATACCTTATAGTAATAATCTGTCCAAAATCCAGCTCATAATTGTTTACTTGAGCAATAAAGATTGCTGCCACCGCTTCATATAGGGCAGTTCCGTCCATATTGATCGTGGCCCCAACAGGCAGCACAAATCTGGCAATCCTTCTGTCAACATGGTTATTCTCCAACAAGCACTTGAAAGTTATAGGCAATGTGGCTGAGCTGCAAAACATCCAAAACAAAAACCAAACACATGTTGGAAGCTGTTTTATCCTCAGGGAATAACATTAAAAGCAGCAAACTCATCTATCTTCCCCTGCATATAGATCATATTCAATGCTGTATGCATTCAAGCACTATTTCCTATCTTCGCTTCTGTCTGCTTATGTATCGGGCCCAAATGGCTTCACTGATAATGGGAGTTTTGTCATTGGCTTCTGTCATAAACATACAGCTAAGGGTAGCATAAAATCCCTCCTTTACCTGTAAAGGGTTAAGAAGCTCACATAACCTGGTTGGCACCTGACCAAAAGGACTAATGAGAGGAGAAGATACTTTCAAATCTGTGGGGAAAGGTTTTTGTTTTGTCTCTCCTCTCCGGTCAGCGAGGAACCAGGGAAGGGAAAATACATCTCCTAAAGCCATATCTGAACTAAGCATCTAAGATTACAAATTGTAAGTAATAGGAAGGAAATGCGTTAGATTGTCTTTTGTTTTAGCTTGTGAATTTTCCCTAGGCTAAGAGGGAGGTTTATTCCTGTTTTTTTGTAACTTTAAAGTTTTGCCTAGAGGGAAATCCTCTGTGTTTTAAATCTGATTACCCTGTAAAATTACCTTCCATCCTAATTTTATAGAGGTGCTTCTTTTACTTTTTCTGTATAATAAAATTCTGCTTTTAAGAACCTGATTGGTTTTTAGTGTCCTAAAAACCAAAGGGCTGGTCTGTGCCCACTTTGTTAACCTATTTAGTTGGTATATTATTCTCAAGCCTCCCCAGGAAAGGGGGTGAAGGGGTTTGGGGGGATTTTGGGGGAACAGGAACTCCAAGTGGTTCTTTTCCTTGAATCTTTGTCTAACTCACTTGGTGGTGGCAGCGATACCATTCCAAGGACAAGGAAGAATTTGTGCCTTGGGGGAGTTTTAACCTAAGCTGGTAGAAATAAGCTTAGGGGGTCTTTCATGTGGGTCCCCACATCTGTACCCTAGAGTTCAGAGTGGGGAGGGAACCCTGACAGCTTCTGTGAGAGCAAGAGCAAGTCCGTTGTGTTTAATGCGCACAAGGCACTTGAGCATGTGTATGCAAATTCTGCTTTGCACTGTTACGCAAGAGACAATGATTCAGTTCCCACTCTACAAATTTTTAAATCAGTATTGGATGTTTTTCTTAAAAGTATGCTCTAGTTCAAACAGCAATTAATTCAGAAAGTTCTATGGCCTGTGTCATGCAGGGGGTCAGAGTAGATTATCACAATGGTTCCTTCTGGCCTTATAATCTATAAGGTAGAAAGCAAGGGCTGGAGGTGCCGCAGAAGCCATAGTGTATGTTTAGTCACCAAAGGGTCAAGGAACGAAAGTGCCTCATGCAGTTGTGATACCTCTGGAAACAAAACATCACTGTTGATACTTTCAGAAGGAAATTCCACCCCATCCTCGTTAGACAGAAAGCTGATGGCCCTGATGATAAGCTTTGAAGCAGGGTAAGATATGAAGCAGGGGTGGGCAAACTTTTTGGCCCAAGGGGTCATCTGGGAATAGAAATTGTATGGTGGGATGTTAATGCTCACAAAATTGGGGTTGGGGTGTGGGAGGGGGTGAGGGCTCTGGTTGGGGGTGCGGGCTCTGGGGTGAAGCCAGAAATGAGGAGATCAGGGTGCGGGAGCGGGCTCTGGGCTGGGATGGAGGAGTGGGGTGTGTTGGGGGGTGAGGGCTGGGGGTGTGGGCTCTGGGGTGGAGCTGGGGATGAGGAGTTTGGGGTGTAGGAGGTGCTCTGGGCTGGGACCAAGGAGTTCTGAGGGCGTGAGGGGGATCACAGCTGGGACGGGGGTTGGGGTGAGGCTCAGGGGTGCAGGCTCCAGGTGGCGCTTACCTCAAACAGCTCCTGGAAGCAGCAGCATGTCCTTCTCCAGCTCCTACATAGAGGCGTGGCCAGGGAGCTCTGCACACTGCCCCATCTGCAGGCACCACTGCTGCAGCTCCCGTTGTAGTGCTGGAGGGGGCCATTGGAGCGTGTAGGAGCCAGAGAGGAGCCCCTGACCCTGCTCTCTGGATGGAGTGCCGGAGCGGGGCCATGCCACAGCTTCCGGGAGCTGCGTGGAGCGACCCTGATCCTGCTCCCCGGCTGCAGCACCAGAGTGCCAGAGTGGGGCAAGCCCCACGCCCCACTCCCCAGCAAGAGCTCAAGGGCCAGTTTAAAATGGCCCGCGGGCTGTAGTTTGCCCACCCCTGATGAAAAGCAAGGATCTCCTCACGGCTCCGATAGGGCTAGAGGACATGTCTCAGGCCCACCCCATCTCCCTTCAGGCATACAGTAAATAGTGCAGTTTTATTAAAGTGCAAGTCTGATCCTGTGCCTACACAGGATTTCTCCTCCTGCTTATCAAAGTTAAGGGCCTCAGCTCCTACTAACAATGGGAGTTTTGAACACAGACTGAGGACAGTGTACGCCCTTAAGACTGTGCCAGTGCCTACTGAGTACTGACACCAAACCAAAAATAAAATACTTGTTTAGGCAACAATTCATAATGGTTACACAGTAAACAGGATTATTTAAAAAACAGGTTACTCCTTGAGCTAAACTCTCCAAAACTCTCTCCTCCCAGCCCTCCAAGTGAATTTAGTGTTGGTGAAAGATGTCAGATAAATAGCCCTGGGGACTGAAACCCTCTATTGTATCTGATCTGTGGACAAACAAAGTGCAAGGTTCCTAAACCATGATGAACTGGTGGGATCACTTCTGTGGACCAGTGAAAGTACAGTTGAGTGTCTGTGCCTGCTCATTCCTTACCCTCTCTGCTGATGCTGCAAACAAAGAAGCCAACTGGGACAGAGATATCTGTGCACTAAGAAGATTTAGGGCTGGCCTATACTGGGAACTTACATCAGCATAGCTACATCTCCCAGGGGTGTGGATTTTCAACACTAGGTTCTTGGATGAATTCTTCTGTGAGTATAGCTACTTCCTCTCGGCAAGGTGGATTACCGACACCAACGGGAGAACCCCCCCGTCAGCCTAGGCAGTGTCTACATTGAAGTGCCTCTGCAGTGCTGTGGTAGCAGTTTAAGTGTTGACATACCCGGAGTCAGAGACCACCGACTCATTTCACACACACCACTAAGCAGCCATATAACTGTAGCACCTTTTGATCCCTAGTGAGCTGGAGAACAGCTTAGAAATCACAAACCTGAGATTGGCTAGGTTGGGGGCAAATTGAAATTACTGCTCCTGATTGGCCAAGAATTGCACACATCCTATTTTTGTTCTCTCTTCTCCTCTTCCTTGTCCTTTACCACATCCTGCTTGTTCATCTCATCCATCAGTTATGTCTTGTCTCTTTGATTGTAAACTCAATCGAAAAGACAGGGCAGGGTCTATCATTTGCAATAGATTTGTACAGCGCCTAGCACAATGGGGCCCTGACCTGGTTGGCCTCTAGGTGCTACTGGAATATAAATGTAAAACAGAAACCAACATCTTATAATGGACAGTTTTAGGGAGTTCAACCATAGGCATAGCTGCCAATAATAATGAATAATGAACTTAAAATCCATTATTACCACTCTTGAGCTACTTAGAGTTCTGCAGTGACATCCACCCCTTTTATAAAAACATCTCTTGCAACTCAACAGCTTCTTTTACAGTGAATCCTTGTGTTTCTTTGTATGGAGAGGAGGGGAAAATGTTTATTCTTTTTTCAAAGTTTTTACATTATTATAAGTTTTAATGCATCCAGAGGGCACAACATGTTAAGAACAATCCTTCACCACCCTTTCTCACATTACAGACTACTTACCAAATGCCACATTAAGAATAATTAAAAAGTCCCACTAAAGATGAGGTAAGAGCCAAATGTTGTCTTGCAGTTAGGATATACTGGTGGTAGTTTGCGAAACTGTATGTTCAGACAGACAGCAGCCCACTCAGAAGAGCAGAATAAAACTTGAAAATTCTACTTCATGCAGGGTTTATGTGAACCTTTTCTTCTTGTTTCACATCCTTAAACTTTGCTTTCAGTTTCAGGCTCAAACAAATCTGAAAATTAAAGCAAAACTGAGCAAAACCTACAATTTTTAATTATGGGGCCTATTTTCAGTCCAATAGGTTATAAAGCCACTGATAAGACATGAAGCTACTGAGTTTTGCATGGTTTCAATTGGGAACCATAGACTGTGCTAGGTTCCCTTGAAAATTGGCCCAAGTTCAATCAAAAGGATCACTAATCTCTGAAGGCCTGTCCTAAACTTTGCAGTTTTAAATGCAACAGAGTCTCCTGTGGCACCTTTAAGACTAACGGATGTATTGGAGCATAAGCTTTTGTGGGTGCATGCATCCGACGAAGTTGGCATTCACCCACGAAAGCTTATGCTCCAATACACCTGTTAGTCTTAAAGGTGCCACAGGACTCTCTGTTGCTTTTTACAGATCCAGACTAACACGGCTACCCCTCTGATACGTGGCAGTTTTAAATGAAACTCAAATCTAGCATTTTTCACACCCCTCAGTGATGTAGCTGTGCTGATCTAACTTGTTGGTGTAGACCTGACCTGAGTGTTAGTGAAAGCAGCTTTGGGGGTCTAATGTCAAATGTTGAGGAAACTGTTAGGTTTTAACACTTAACCCATACCTTGAGGCTAAATCTAAAGCACTGTTTTTAAATAGCTAAATATTCTTCAGATTTCCTGAAGCCATTAGTAAAGAGAGGAGGCATCTTGTCCCACTCAGGACTGTATTACTGACAAGCAATTGCAAAACAGCTATAGGTTTATCCCACTCCATTTTAGTGATTGTACAGGGGCAAGGATTGAATACAAACCAATATTTCAGTTATGCAAAGCGCTAATGTAGGCCACAAAGAAATAGAAGAGCCAGTCTCTATAGAAAAAGCTCCTCCAGCTGTTTAGCCCTGCCTGTTTATCTTGCAAATGAATCCTAATTCTTATTATTGCTCCAGAAAGTCAACAAGCTGACTTAATCAAGAATTAAGTTACACCCCCTTTTGTTAAATCTGTCTTTAATTTACACTGCACAAGAGCCAAGGTCTCAGAGTTTCATAAGAAGCAAAAGCCCCTTGAAATGTTCACATTTTATTTACACTCTGTGTGCAGGGGAAAAGAGAACTGCTTCTTTTGATGGGATGCACTATTGAGAAGATGCTGCCTTTGATTCACTGACGCTGTAGAAAGATGACCATGGAGAAAAAAAGACCTCTACATGTCCTAGGGAAATTATAATCAAACCAAGGGGCATTCTATCTATTCGCCAAATTCTGTCCTTCACACTGCGAGAGGCGCCTGGGTGGAGGAATCGTAACAGTGACAGATGTTCCCTGAGCCAAGCTGACTAAACAAGGCAGGATGGCTCAGAGGGGCCAGGCTACAGCATACTTTGGACCACACCTCATTGCTGCACCTCCCTTAGTGCCTGTCACCAAAGCCAAACAATGTCCCAGGGCCTCAGAGCCTGGGATCAACACCCAAACTAGCTGGCCTCACCCTTTTGGGGCTATGGAATGCTACCTAGTATGTCACTGGGACCCCCGCCAAGCATGTAAGGAAACAAATACATGTTCTACTATGGTCCTGTATGGGTGCACTGTTTGGGGGAATAAGGAGGAGGGTAAAAGAAACTTCTGCCCTTTCTGCCCTCCACCAATATATATGTGCAAAGAAGTCAGAATTTTGCCCTATATGTTTGACATTTCCATACAAATGCTAAGCATGTCATTGGCATCAAAAGTGATAAAACTGGACAGCACATGGGGACTGATTGTTGGATGGAGAACCCCTCACTTATAGGTTATGGGTTCCAGTTATGCTTAGGTCAGTGAAGTCGTTGCAATGAGATGACTGTTTGGTGGCTTACAGTTCCTGTAGTGGACAGGTGCTCACATCCCAATGCTACCAGCACCATTTCCACAAAGTGGCACCCTTACTTGCAGTCTTGGTTGAGGTGCCAAGAACTAAATTAGCTATGGGGAATGACCCTCAGAAAGGATCCTTGAAAAACAAAGATAAGGCAAATTAAGGAGTCGGGGTGGGGAGGCTTGCGCTGGCACTGCCTTGTTTTACCTGATTTGTGGTTAGCTAGATGTATTTAGATTCCTGATCTATCATTCCATCATCTTTCACTAACACTAAATTCAGTAAAAAGATGAATTATCCACTAGAGTCTCACTAAGCTTTGTCAGTCTACATTAGTGTTGCTACATATAAAGAGCCAGGTGAAGAATAATTTACTTTTTGGCCATGGCTTTATCTAGTATAATCTGTATTTAAAACACTTCATCCTTCCCATCTGCACTCTCCCACTCCCATTTGTGTGTCTTGTCTACCTGTCGTATCCTGTCTGACACTTAGAGTGGAATGGAGACTATCTTTGCTAGGTATTTGTACAGTGTGGCCTTGATCTTTGAGTGGGTTTTCCAAGTGCTACCATAATAACTAATAGTAATAGGCAAGGAAAACAGCTGGCCCTTGACATGAACAGGGAAATCTCCCAAGAGTGATTTGTCTCACTTTTTGTGCACGGTATGTCTTTTCTATAGTTATGATCTTTAACTAAAGAAATCTTTCCACACCCGGTGGTGGCTGGATTTAATACAAGAACACTGATTTTCAGTGTTCTGTCTATCATTAGATGTAGGCATGCACTGATGCAGAAACATACGGTAGAGACACATTAGTAGGCCAACCTTTTGTTCTGCTTTAAAATGATCTGATAATCCAATGCCTGTATTATTAATATTAATATGTTGCCTTTGTGACAAGTATTACTTAATGAGATACAGATGTGATGACTGTCAGGAGAAGCAACTTTACTTTCCAAAACCAATTATTTGTGCATGTTCTTTTGGCAACAACTCAGTTATGTGCAGTATCTATTCTTCTCACTGTAACCAAGGTGAAAAGTTCAACTATCTCATCACAAGATGCTACCATTTAAGAGGAAAAACACCAAATAATGTATTGCTTTTTTTAAAAAGTCTACATTGCACTTGCAAAAAAATGCATCTGTTGCTGCAAACGGGCAATTGTACATGCAGCATACAAAGCTATGCACAGAGTCATTTGAGAATGTGCACAATTTTCTGCTTTTGTCTGCAATGCCAGTGCAGACTATCGAGGAAGGCTGTGTAAACACAAAGCACAATTTAGACATTTGGGTCTGTAGTTTGGTCACTAGAAATCAGGCCTGACTTTTGCAATATATCTGTGACTTATGATTTTGGTACATTTTAGAAAAGAAACTTTGGAAAATTCATGATATCATGACCAACCCGTACATTTAGAGACTAAACTACAGAGAAGGTAGCTAATACTTGAAGAATGATCTGATGGGCTCAGAGATAGAGGCAGACAGGTGATGAGAGAAACCAAAAATAATACGAATAGGAAGAAATAATGACCTGCTTCAATCAAAAGAGGAAGTAGCTGTTTAGAAAGCAATGAGGCAGAAAAGATCAGGGGAATAATGCATTGGCTATGAACTCACAAATGTGAAGGAAGAGAATCTACTGTACGACAAAGGAAGTAACTGTCCTATTTTATAAAGCCCCAGTATGACCACACTTGGTAATTATGGGAATCTAACCTGGTGAAAAATGCCATTATCTTTCTACAGTACAAACTGGAAGATGAGGCAGGAACACTCTTTTCCTAGAGCTGAGAAAGGTAAAACAATGAGAGGCACAAGTCCTAAAGAAGGAAAAATACAGGATGAATAGATAAGAAAATGTCCTTACAGTAAGGGGAATTAAGTAATGGAATAAATGACCTAGTGAGGATGTTGAGTCACCAGCATTATAAGTTTTCAGAACCAGGACTGAGGAAATCTTAGTGGGATCAGGGAAGAGGGTTGAGAGGGAGCCTGAAAGGCCTTTTCCAACATTAATATCTATGACTGTAAGATCATCATCATCTGTGAGTCTGGGGAATACAAACGCATCTGAAGCTACAAACTTAAAAAATAGCCTTAAACTTTCAAACTTTATTAGAACTTATAAAGCCAGCCAAAACACAATTTGCTCCTGATTTCACTTTGCAAAATATACTGTACTATATTTCAGTTAGCAAGTTATTACATTTTATAAACATCCTGTAAAATTAAATTTATAATAGAGATGCGGACAGTCCCTTAATTTTTATGGCCTTAGTTGGAACCATTATGATTTCAGGAACATACGGATGAAATGTAGACTAGGTAGACCAGGAGACAATCGAAGTTCCTAGGTTCTGTTCTCAGCTCTGGAACAGACTCTCCATGTGACTTCGGGCAAGTCACTTAACCTCTCTGTGTCTCTGTTTACCCATTGGTAGAATGGGGATAATGATGCTTATAATATTGACAGTAATTAGCACATTGGACCACTAATTCTGGAAGCCCTAGCATCTGCTGAGTGAAACTGACATGATTCTTGTCTGTTTCACAGCTGTCACCCACCAAATAGCAGCAATTTCACTCACCAGCTGCTGAGATCCTGGGGGCCATATTTAATTTTTCATCAGGTTCAGAATCGGAATGCAATCAAATTTTGAAATATTGACATTTCCTGCGAACCTGAACTTCCAAGTTTCAGCCAGCTCTAATTAGGACCTCATAGGTATTTAGTAATATCAGTGTTTAATACCTGGATGATGTGGCCAGAGCAATTAGCAAGGCTTGAAGAATCCCTCTGATGAAAACAATGGGGTTTTTCTTAGTGATAAAGAAGTACATCATTGGCAGAATGAACAGTCCATGAACCACCAGGCCACAAACCACAGTAATGGCATAAAAGCCCAGCTTCTTCCCAATAGCTGTAGGATCATCCATTTCCAAGATCTTGCCAGCAATAAGAAACACTATTCCAAAAGGAAAATACCTAAGTGAAAAGAGAGGGAGATTTATTGTTATGAGACAGATCATTTCCACCAAATAATTTAGTGAGATAACTTCCTGCACTTTCATTTCAATACAGACTTAGGACTTGACCACGCAGTGTTTAATAAGCATGGAGAGTGTTCAGAATTTCATAGGAGCACCTTGCAGTATTGGACTCTTCTTCTTTTTCCATTCATGAGTTCTGGGGAAATGTTTTTATATCAAATTATTAGCAATGATGCTGTTTTCTACTGAAAGAACAGGAGTACTTGTGGCACCTTAGAGACTAACAAATTTATTTGAGCATAAGCTTTCGTGGGCTACAGCCCACTTCATCAGATGCATAGAATGGAATGCATAGAATGAAACATATAGTAAGAAGATTATATATCCTTACTATATGTTCCATTCTATGCATCTGATGAAGTGGGCTGTAGCCCACGAAAGCTTATGCTCAAATAAATTTGTTAGTCTCTAAGGTGCCACAAGTACTCCTGTTCTTTTTGCGGATACAGAACAGAACACGGCTGCTACTCTGTTTTCTACTGACTGGCCAGTAGGACACACACAACACACTTAAATACAATTTGTTAATTAAAGCAGTGTATATCTAATCTCTCCCTCAATGTATGCATTTTAAGGTTCGCATCACCATAGTATTTAAGGCCCAGATCCACCAAGGCACTAAGGTGCTTTAGTTCCAGGTTTGGATCCACTGTGCCCTACAAAACTATCGCTGAACCCTGAAGGTGCCTAAACTCACTCTGCACCTAAGTTTTCAGGGTAATAGTTCCCTAGGTGCCTATTTTTCTGCCTCTGGGCATATGCACTGCTGCCTCACTCTTGGGGTCTGGATACCTATCTCCTGCCTAAGCCCCAGTGTGATTCACAAACCAGGACAAGATAGGTGCTCAGACACCTACGTTGCATATAGGACCTGATCCAGAAGGCATGCTCAGGGGCTGCCTACCAGATAATGTCCCATTCAGAATCCAACAGGAAGAGGAGGTGGTTCTGGTACCCACCTTATAACAGCCTAGAGGTTAACACACTCACCTGGGTTGTGAGAGACCCGGTTCTGTTCCCTCCTCTCTCGATTTGAACAGGGGTCTGCCACCTCTCAGGAGACTGCTCTAACCACTGCGCTATGGGATACTCTGGTTGAGGGGAGGGGAGGTTGCTCACATTGTCTCCTGCTGAAGATGTTCCAGTGTGGATAAATGAAACAGTGACTGGAGCAGTGGGAGTGGAGCAGGGTCTCTACCCACTGGACTACAGAGTCATTCTCTCTCTCTCCTCATGACTGTTTAAGTATTTATTCACAATGGAGCAGTCATGGGGTAAGAGTGAGGTGAGAGACCCCCATTCAAATCGTTTCACCGCCCTCTGGCAGAAAGGGGGAAATTGAATCTGGGTTTCCCACATTCCCGGCGAGTGCTGTAACCTCTGGGCTACAAGTTATAAGGTGGGCGCTGCTGCTGCAGTGATACTTTCCTACCTCACAGTATTGTTGTGTGTACAGTAAAGCACTTTGAGATCCTCAGATGGAAGGTGCTATATAACTACAATGTATTAATTATGTAGTAGCAATATTGACTCATTATTAAGACTGTTCACAAAAGTGCTGAAGAGCCATTCTTAAATTAGCAACATTGATGTAAAGAGGGAATGTCGACTATATTTTAAAAGCCCTCCCCCCCCCCCGTTAATTTTAACAGCCTCCCCGAAATTGAGAGCAGCGTTTTAGGGATAAAGCTATGAGCAGAGGCGGATTAAGCTTTTGCGGGGCCCTGGACCAGAGCAATTGGAGGCCCCTCCCCCCCCTTCTTCCCCCCTACCCCCCAGCACTCCTGCCAGGGAGCAGGGTCAGGTCGCAGGGACTTCCCCTGCTCCCTGGCAGGCGCGCAGGGCTGGCAGAGCGGGTTGGGGCAAGGGGGCACTGCAATTGGCCGGGGCCCCTGGGCATGGGCCCCATTGACCCAGTGCTAATCTGCCACTGGCTATGGGAGGTGCAAGAACCAAGTTGTGAATCTAAGCGTATGTCTACACTGCAATTAGACACCTGCAGCTGGCCCATGCCAACTGACTCGGGCTTACAGAGATTGGGCTAAGGGGCTGTTTAATTGCAGTATAGACATTTGGGCTTGGGCTGGAGCCTGGGCTCTAGGACCCTGCGAAGTGGGAGGGACACAGAGCTCGGGCTGCAGCCCGAATGTCTATACAGCAATTAATCAGCCACTTATCCTGAAACGTGTAAGCCCGAGTCAGCTGGCATGGACCAGCTGCAGGTTTTTAATTGCAATGTAGACATACCCTAAGATTTATTTTATTGTGCCAAAGGCTACTATTAGACAGATGCATTTCTATTGCTTTTCAAGGAATTTTCCTCCCATGTTAGAATATTTTTGTTAATCAGTGGAAGGATTTGAAAAGTTCTAGGCCCTGGAACTTTTTACAATTTTGCATATTCTTCAGGAACTTCTAAGTACAGTAAGGGATATTTCTAGTACCCTAACTTCAGATCTGCTCATTTACAACCAGCTAGGTCTATGGTATAAACTGCATAAAACAGAGAGCCAGATCCCGAGGTCTGTCTGAGCTGTGCTTGGCATGGGACCTGGGATTGGGAATGAAGGTGGGCCATACTTCTTCTATTGGTAAGGATTTATGTTCTCTCTTACACTAGGTAGCTTGTAACCCCACAGGTGTGGCTCTGAAGCATGCACGGGCCATTTAAAGCCAAGTGAACTTCCAGTCACTCTGACCCCTGGTCAAAAAGGTTACCAGACAGGGAGCAGAGCAGCTGGGATTGTAGTGGGATGACTTTTTACCAGTATAGCTATTTCTCTGTAAGACTACATCCACATTGCTATTGTGTTGATATAACTACACCGGTAGGGGATTTGCACTGCTCCAGAATGGGGATAGCAATTTTGCAATAACTGAGGTTATTTCAATAGGAGACAGACATGAGTATGGATGTGTGCCTGGCTCTGCTAAAAATAGATGAATTCTACTGGGCTAACTTTTGTTAGACCAGGTCTAAGCCACCTTTCCATTCTCCTGATCTGGGGTCAAACTTGCCCGCAATCTGATTTACGGACATTCTAAGTTATGTTGGCTAGAGTAGTCCCTTAGGGCCTACTCTGCTGGTTGGGGATTGCCAGAGGGCAGTAGTGCACTGTGATTCTGTCCCTTCATGCCCCTGCCCACACTACTGGCCATGCCATCTACATCTGGAGCAGGTGGCATAGACCTAAATATGTTGCTTTATGGCACCCGGGAATTCCCCTTTGTTAGGGGAATCCCTGTGTGTTGAGGCAGTTCTCTGTCCTCTTTATGCCACTGGAGTGGTGCAAAGGGAACAGAGCCAGGGACCAGCATCTGGCCTGGAATGTTTGTATAACTTCCTTCAAATGCTAGCACCATACAAAGTTGAGGTTGTTGTCCCTCATGAATTTGCCTGGAAACAAGATTACATCATCTCAGAGCATTTTTTTCCTGTTGAAATATACTTCAACTTTTTAAAAGTGATATTTTTGCTTGATAAAACAGCTACTTACCACACAGAAACGGCCACTATCTTCATGACAGATTCATTTAAACACTGGCAAAAACTGACCAAGGGAACTCCACTGTTACCCATTCTGCCCAACATTATACCTGCAATCAAACACATTATTGTTTTAATTCTCATTTACTCTTAAAAATCCCCAACACACTCCTTTTCTACTGCAACTCAAAGTGAACTAAGTGTGGGGTGGCTAGCTGGGTTAGATAATTGGTAGTGGGATAATCCAACAAATCTCTGTGTTGTAGAAACACAGAGATATAAATCACACAAACACACATAGGGCATGGGGGACAGCCCTTGGTTCTTCAGCTCCACAAACACAAACATCTACCACTTAAGCTAACGGAGATCTCTTTTGAGTTCCCACTAGGAAATCCCTCACCTTCTATACACCAGTCACTAGAGGGCAACAACACTGACATTATATATAGAGAGACGGAGAGAGAGAGTATTTTAGGGTAGGATTGATAAAAGGAGCCTTTTTCTTTTGGCTCACCAGTTTAAATCTAGCCCCGACTGGCAGTGACCAAAAGCCATCATCTGACATCTGTGAAATTAATTTGGTCTCAGTCCAGTTTCTAGTGGATAAGCATCTATAAGATAAAAACCACCCTCACAACTGGTCCTTTTTGCCACCATGGCTTAGCAGCATCAAGCAAATGCACATGAATACAAGGAAGGGCCAAACTACTGCACAAGACTAATCAGCAAAGAAAACAAACACATTCATAGCAACCAACAGTCATAAAGATAGGGGATCTAGTTCCAAGAATAGTTATGTAACTCTATACTTTCTGTATGGTGTTAAGTTTTAATAATGTATATCTAATAATAAACATATCTGTTATGTTCCTATTTAACTAATTTGCTGCAGTGATCCCCGTGAGGATTGTAACGGATCATGTTAATCACTCAAGGAAGCATTTCAGAAATCCATTTATGTTTGAAGAGGATTTTACAAGAAAACGAAGTTGTGAGGGGGGTGCATTCTAACACTTATTCTGGATGGACAGAATGTTTGCTTTGACTGAGGCCCCATGGTCTCTCACTTGGAGCGCACATCTGCATTTGCAGGCCAGGTCCCAGATTGTAATGGTTCCAAGACAATCCCCTCCTGATACAGGGGAGTGAGCCACTTAGATGTCAAGCCCAACAATTTCACAATAACAATGCATGCAGGATGTGGGTTTATATGCCTGTTAACATTCATCTAGCTGTAAATTTTCAGACACAAAACCACATTATATTTTATTAACAATGTTGCTCATTTATGCTAACAGAATGTTAATTACAAAGTTCAGTTTTTTAAGCTAGACTGGCTTTATTAAGCCATGGCAGCTTTACAAGAATCTTAGCTTTCTAACTTAGTAGAAGGATGAAGAGGGGAAATGGATCACCTCTTATTTTACAGGAATAACTGTGGTTTGCTTACAAGAAAACTCTTTGACGTCTGAGTATGGCAAGCGTTGGCAACAGGAGACGTAGCAGGTAAGACTGGAGGCTGCTGAATGATGAGTATTAGGCCTGGTCCACACTAACCCCCCACTTCGAACTAAGATACGCAACTTCAGGTACGTTAATAATGTAGCTGAAGTCGAAGTACCTTAGTTCGAACTTACCGCGGGTCCAGACGCGGCAGGCAGGCTCCCCCGTCGACTCCGCGTACTCCTCTCATGGAGCAGGAGTACCGGCGTTGACGGCGAGCACTTCCGGGATCGATCCCAGAAGATCGATTGCTTACCGCCGGACCCGGAGGTAAGTATAGACGTACCCTGAGACTCACTGGTCTCTTAAAGCAGTGGTTCTCAACCAGGGGGTATGTGTACCCCTGGGGTACACAGAGTTCTTCCGGGGGGACATCAACTCATCTAGATATTTGCCTAGTTTTACAACAGGCTACATAAAAAGCACCAGCAAAGTCAGTACAAACTAATATTTCATGCAATGACTTGTTTATACTCCTCTATATACTATACATGGAAAAGCAAGTACAATATTTGTATTCCAATTGATCTATTTTATAATTAAAAATGAGAAAGTCAGAAATTTTTCAGTACTAGTGTACTTTGGCACTTTTGTATTTTTAGGTCTGATTTTGTAAGCAAGTAGTTTTTAAGTGAGGTGAAACTTGGGGTATGCAAGACCAATCAGACTCCTGAAAGGGGTACAGTAGTCTGGAAAGGTTGAGAGCCACTGTCTTAAAGGACCTCACTATTCAACCAAATACACGAAGGGATGGTTTCAAGAAATGTTCAACAGTCAAACCTCACCAGTTTACTGTACTGTCATTTGCACAAGCCCCTTTCTGCAGTCGTTATGTAAGAAGCCCAAATAGTCATTTCCAAGCAAAGTTTTTACTCTCTGTGATTTATAAGATGATTTCCAGTTCTTCAACATTTATGCTAGACTCTCACCTCTTATCCGTTTCACACACCCCAACAAGGCCACACTCACCCAGCTGGGGGCCTAGAAGGCTGCCTAGGTGAGGCCCTGAATCAGTGCGTTTTTAAGTGCCTTTTTCATACCCCTTCTCTGGCCACCATTGCCCATTTTGGGGCAGAGTTGGCCAGAACCAGACACAACCTTGAAATTGAGAAGAGTCCTGCATGTGGCTTTCTTCCTGAGCTAAGATTGCTAAGCCACCCACCTCCTGCTTCCAGAAAAAGGAAAAGCAGGTTTCTGTTACTAAGAGAGGATGGGCCGGATTCTCAGTTACGCTAAAGCCTCTTTTTATGCCACTCTGGCAGTGTAAGGGGGCCATAAAATGGGTGTAACTATAATTTATGCCCACGTTAAAGCCCCTTTACTTTGCTAGAATGGTGCAAAGGGGCCTTGGTGTAAATGAGAATCAGGCCCAATGACTGAGCAGAACTGCTATGAAGCACCCAGTGCCAAATGAATTACTTTGATGTATATTATGATATTTCCATACATAACATATTTGGAATGATGTTTTCCCTTTCCTCCAAGCCCCATCCACATACCCTCCATTTGATCCCTGCCCTTCACTTTTCCTTAGGATGGGAAGAAGGTGATGTAGAGCTTGTGACAAAGGTCAAGAAATACTCTGTTAAGTGGGTTGCCCTATGGGCAATTTGTCCAGCTCCTAGAAGCAAAACAGATAGGTGGTCTTAAGTAGCAGAATCTTGTGTTTCCACAGCCACCAAACTAATACAATCTAAAAACGAACCTTTAATACACATATATAATTCTTCTCCTGTCCTTCCATCACAGTCATATGTTTTTCAAGTGATAGGCACATAATATGGCCTGGCCGGAAGCTCTGGCAAGATCTTTTATAATGCATGGTTCCTCCAGGCGCTGGCAGACCAACAGATGTTCCATGGTTTGTGTTTCACTGCAGTCACGTGTCTGGGTCATTGGAATAACCCCACTGCCGCATATTGACTGTTGACCTGCCAGCTCTTGTTCAGAGGCAATTTAAACTTGTTAGGTCAACCAATCCTTCTCTGCACTTGCGCAAATGTGTTCAGCAACATTGACGTGCATTTTAATCTCCTCGCTGAGTATTTTGAATTGTGTGCGCTACATTTCCAGCCATATAGCCGTTGGTGAATTTTTAAGCAGTTCTGTTGCATCTAGGAAGCTTTCCCACAATTTCAGGTGGCTAACTGCCATGGTGTGACTGTGTAGAAGATGTCTGGTATTTTCCACCTGTTGTAGTCATTCCAGTTTGCTTGTGACCGCTCTCCTGATATCTGGTGGACAATTCCAATAAGCACATAATGGCTGTTCACGCTTGTTGGTTTTAGACATCCTGTGATGTAGCAGCAGCTGTCAATAAGCACAGGGTCCAGCCCCTTTGCATGAGCTGATCTTTCCCACACCTGACATGCATATTTGACAGTAGAATAGCAAAATGCAAGTGTGGTGGCTCTTAGTATTGCTGGGCTGGTTCGCCCTTTTGAATTTGCAAGCTTCCTGAGTGTGTTGTTCTGGGTGCTAACTTTGCCTTTTTTCTTCTCCGTGTGCGCCTTGAAGGAGAGTGTGACGGGTTCCCAAAAACAGCTCACAGGAGTGTGCTTGTCTTTAGCACTCAGATGCCCAACTCCCAATGGGGTCTAAACCCAGATAAATCCGTTTTACCCTGCATAAAGCTTATGCAGGGCAAACTCATAAATTGTTCGCCCTCTATAACACTGATAGAGAGATATGCACAGTTGTTTGCTCCCCCAGGTATTAATACATACTCTGAGTAAACTACTAAATAAAAAGTGATTTTATTAAATACAGACAGTAAGATTTAAGTGGTTCAAAGTAGTAACAGACAGAACAAAGTAAGTCACAAGCAAAATAAAATAAAATGCGCATATCTATGCCTAATCAAACTAAATACAGATAATCTCACCCTCAGAGATGCTTCAGTAAGTTTTTCTCAGACTGGACACCTTCCAGGCCTGGGCACAATTCTTTCCCCTGGTACAGCTCTTGTTCCAGCTCAGGTGTTAGCTAGGGGCTTCTCCATGATGGCTCCTCTCCCTCTCTCTTCTGTTCCACCCCTTTATATATCTTTTGCATAAGGCGGGAACCCTTTGTCTCTCTGGGTTTCCACCCCCCCTCACTGGAAAAGCACCAGGTTAAAGATGGATTCCAGTTCAGGTGACATGATCACATGTCACTGCAAGACTTCATTACTCACTTGCCAGCACACACATATACAGGGAGACTCACAGGTAAACAGCCATCTGCAGACAATGGGAGTTATCAAGATTCCAAACCATCATTAATGGCCCACACTTTACATAATTACAATAGGCCCTCAGAGTTACATTTTATATTTCTAGTTTTAGATACAAGAGTGGTACATTTATACAAATTAGATGATCATACTCAGTAGATTATGCACTTTGTAATGATACCTTACAAGAGACCTTTTGCACGAAGCATATCCCAGTTGCATTATATTCACTTATTGTCAAATTTTTATAAAACTATCCCAGTTACATTATATTCACTCATTATCATGTTTTTATAAAACCATATAGACTGCACAACGTCACAGAGAGAGTGAGGTCTAGTGTCACCCCAAGGTAGATAGGATTCCAGCAGTGGCCAAGTGATACCCCATTCCAGATGATGTTACATTGTTTATCGGCCTCATGATTCCAAAGTTGGAAGAGACGCTCTTGCATTTTGGCTGGGTTAGCATATAATTGGTTCTTGGGGTAACAGACTGAGAGCCCAGACAGTGCCAATGTTAGCGTAGTTTCTATCTGGGCAAGATCCTTGGCTTGGGCAGTGATGCATGGGTCGATAGAATAGATAAAACTTGTGCTGAGATGGATTGGTTGATCATTCGTGTAGATGCTGAAATGTATTGGTGAGAGTACACTCCCTTTTGGTAGGCCATTTTTCTGTTGCCGCCATTTTTTCTCCTTCCCGCACAGTACAATGTAAAACGTCAGTGCTCTGGTAGAGGCTGTATGAGGCGGTGATCTTTCATCATGTAGTATACTTTGGTGAGGCGCCTTCAGTGATTCACTGTGTCATATGCTGCTGATAGGTCGACAAACACTGTGCCGGTTACCGTACCCTTTTCAAAGCCATCTCTGATGTACTGAACGATATTCAGCGCTTGACCAGTGCATGACTTGCCTGGCGGAATCCAGCTTGCTCGTGCTTTTCAATGAATGGTGATAGGTGGTTTAGGATGAGATCCTCATGCAGTTTGTAGAAATGACATAGTTGTGATATAGGCCTGAAGTTCTTCAGCTCCATTGCGTCCTTCCCCGGCTTCAGGAGTGTCACAACATGTGCTTGTCTCCAGATTCTTAAGTATAAAATTACAACCATGAAATAAATGGGTATACACGGCTGAGTTCCCTCTGGTGCTGTTACTATGCCAGGAGAATTTGACATAACCACCAACCATCCTCTACCTTGGTCCAATTGATCAACTGGCATACGGCAAGATGTAAGTGTGTATATCTAAAAACTGTTGACAGCTAACATGGGTTATAGGTTAGCCCAGTGGTCTAGTGGCTGTGCAGCTCCTGACCTCTTGATCCCTGAGTCAGCAGAAGTTGGAAGCACTGCTGAGGTAGCATGCTCAGCTCTGGAGAGTAGAGGAATGGTTTGCATGGCTCAATGGCATATGCAACCCCTTTAATCTAATGAACACTAGAAGTGAAGAGACTCCTGTCAAGTAATTCTTGGCTGGACAGTTGGTGGCAGTGACAAGGTGCTTTGAGGGTTGAGTATTAAATCGTTGAAAATTAGGGGATCTCAGGTTTCCAACAAGGATGCAGGTGGAACTACACATCTTGTGGAAACCAAAGGGAGAGAAAAATGTGCTACTGACAGACTGGAATTTTGACCCTTTTTGCTAATGCAAACCATGCATAAAATAAGAAAAATCAAAGGTGCTTTTGGAACCACATCTGCTGCACAGATTCCCTTCCAAACACAGCATCATAAACACAGATAAAGGATTCTTTTTGTCAGCATCTCTATGTGAAAATCATCACTTTACCATTATCAGAAGGACGATGGGCACGTCTAAAGGAGGGATAAAATTCCCTTCCCTCTCACTCAAATTGTAGTCCAGTTAGAAAATATTTCAATAAATAAATAGATAAACCTACTGCAGTTAGATAACATAAAGAGTTCTATTGAGTTCTTCGGGCCGGTAAAACTGAACATTCTAAATGGATAAGAGCTCTCAAAGTCCATTACGATAAGCCTCCTAGATAATACATAACTACTAACATTGAACTATGGTACAAATAAAACGGTACCAGGGGACATTCAATGAAAGCAAAAAACTGCAAATTTAAAACTAATAAAAGGAAATATTTTTTTCACACAATGTATAATTATCCTGTGGAACTCAATGCCTCAAGATATCACTGAGGCAAGCATTTAACAGGATTTTAAAAATTGGACATTTTTATTGATAACAAATACATCCAGATTTATTTTACTAATGATAAAACCAATAGTCTGGGAAGGGATATAAACCCTCATGTTTCAAGGCATAAGTCAACCTCTAACTAAAGGGAGTTGTTAAGAAACTTTCCCTGTGCACAATTATCCTGTTACTGCCTATTGAAAGGTTTCTTCACCTTCCTCTGAAGCTTCTGGTTCCAGCCATGGTTAGAGACAGGATAGTGGATTAGAAATACCACTGCCCCCTTCTGGACAGAATCAGAACTGCTCAGCTGTGTGTCAGCCCCTATACTGCTAATCTTCCTTTGTCTCAAGTGGTAGATGCATGTGCTTTTAAAATAGGTGGGGTCTGAGTTCTATCCATGAAGTTCTGAACAGCCGTAGTATGCAGCACTGGGACAAATGTCAATTCATTCTGGTAGGTGGTGGCACTCCAAGGCAACAGAAGGAGTCCCCTTGTTATCCTCCCTCTGTTCTTAGTCCAAGCACTAAATGCCTTGTCTGTCTGTCTGTCTGACTGACTCAGGAGGGAGTGACTCATGCCGAGCACTACTAGCTGTCATAGGTACAGACCTATCAGAGCTGGGGTAAGGTTCACTATGGTACACTGCTTAACAGTACGTAGCTCTAACCACAGGGATACTTAGCCCAAAGTACAAATGTTAGACGTGAAAACTATACAGTAGACATTTCTGTTGTTCCTCACTCCCCTCTATATGCAAAAGGCACCTAAGTAAAGTTCAGTAGCTTACAAATGCAAGCACACAATAACCAAGCAAAGGCTTAGTGAAATTAAAAGGAAAGGGGGTGGGAAAAGCAGCATGCATAGAAACAATCAGGAGCATGAAAAGAAAATGTCATCAAGGATTATGAACAAGATTCATCCGTAAAGGATTGGAGTACATTACTAGGACATGCTTTTTCTGACTTAACGTTTAGAGACGGGTAGGTGGGAAATAATTATAATCAGGAATACTAAACAAGAACTCTCCTCCCACCCCTGATTCCCCGAAATAAAAACCCAACCCCCAAAACAACAATACACAGATCAATTCAAACATGACCTGCTCCAACATGTTTAAAACATACCCATGGTGGCAGAGAATATCACAATCCCCAGCACGTTCATGCCATCGCTGGTGCCTGGCTCAGATTTGTAAATCACTTCTGGAGGGGGAGTAATATCCAGGGCAAAATTCTGGACATTGGATCCATTCTCATCCTGGACCCCATATATTATGATCCGACGAGTGGTGCTTTCAGAAGCTGCCTTGTTGGATTTGATTATAGGAATGCTTTTGGTGCGATACTGAAAGAACACAGAATATTATGGTGAGTCATCAGGGACTAAAGGGTTAATGAGTCCTCAGATTGCTTTAATGGGCTCCAAAGTGTCTTGTGAAAGGAGAATGTCTATTAAAGAAGGAAGGGGCATGTGTGGAAGAAAGAGAAACCGCTTCCCCTCCTCCCAAGCTACTGGAAAAACAACTCTGATCCTTTTTTTCTGTAAAAAAAAATAACAAAATCTGGAACTCCCCCAAGCAGAACTTTAGGCAGCAGACATTCTGGACCCGGCTAGGGCTACATTTGGCATTCCTCTATATTCACTCTTCTCATCTGTAACTAGGAATAACTCCCTCAAATGCTAATCAGTGGCTTTTCCTTTGTCCCACCAAAGGTAAGGATTCCATGCAATATATCCCATTTGAAAGGGAAACCCAACCATTCCTCTTACTTAACCTGCTCAAAGCTTTTAGATAAGGTGTCCTGCCCAAACTCCAGTTTGGGTAATTAGGTTCTGCCTAAATAAATTCCCACATTGCTTTAACTGGATTCAGCATCCTTCTTCACTTCCTTTTGTGTAATGTTGCTGTGTGTTCTTAAATGCCTTCCACCTGCCAGATTACTGCATTTCAGTGGTGGGAAAAGTGATTCTATTACATAAGTAAATCATATGGCAAAGTTCTCTGCTCTTCTCCAATGCCATTCAATGAGGGCCAGGATCAGCAACAACAGTGTTCAGTTTCAGAAGTCAAATTTGCAGCCCTCTCAAAGAGCTCCTAGAGAATGGCACAGGCCTTCTGATTGATATGTTTATGGCTTAAGAGCCAATGTTAAATTAGTATCTTAGCAAATGTCTGTTGTCTGGTAACACAGAGCTGCCATCACGGCACCTACACCACTTCTCTTCCTGGTCCCTGGTGTGTTCAAGAAAAGGGGCCATAGCTGGGAAGTCCCTATGCTCTGATGATTCCTGATGAGGGCCTTGTCATCCCTTGGTTCTGGGAGGTGCAAAGCTGACTTAGAGGTGCCTGTGCACCCCACTTCCTGAGGTGCAGTGAGCACTCCTCAGCCAGAACTTGGGGTCTGGGCCAACGTCTCTAATTAAGGAGCAAATAAGGAATTATCTTGTGTATTCTCACACTCTCTCTCCCTGCCTTCCATATTCTTACATCCAATTTATTGGGCAGAGCTCAAATCATTTTCACAGGGGACTAAGGATAATCAAAAATCCACGTTCCACAGAATTAGAAAATTGGGGTGAAATCAAGCAAAATGGGTGGAAAGGGCTAAAACAAACTATTTAAAACTCTTCCTCACCAAAATGACTAAATATCAAAACAGGAAGAGCAGCTCTGATTTATAGGATGGTATGACACTACTTTCTGAATTAAAGACACAACTCACGAACATAGGCATTTTAAAAAATGTTACCGTAAATCATGTAGGAGCCTAAATCATGGACTTTGCCAAGGCACTTGTGACTGCTCCAGGCTCCATTATTGTGATTTACATACATTGATATTTCAGTCTAGGCCTGTCCATAGATCATAGGCAGCGCTTGTTTGATATTAGTTATTGAAGGCCTGAACCTCAGAAGTGCAGGGCTCTTGCAATAGCTATTGAAGGTACAGCATCTCTCAGAATCAAGCGCTGTATGATTTATATTGTGCCCATCAACATACTGTATGGAAGCATTTAAAAACATTAAAAACATGAAGGAATCATTGCCAAATAACTGGCAACAAAACAAACCCATGCCTGACTCCCACTCCAATTCCCGTTCACTGGCAAAATAGGTAACTATTCCAGCTACTTTCTCCTCTGACCTAAAAACAAGTGATTATTAAAATAGCTGAATGATTCTGATTACACTCCTGTATAGTAAAGTGATTACTAATTATGGGCCTAACACAAAGCCACTGAAGTCAGTGGAAAAACTCTCATTGACTTCAAAGGGATTCGCATCAGATGTCACTATAGGTACTGAGCCTATACGAACCAATATACAGTACCAAATCTCAAATTTTGCTTAAAAATTTTCACTGCATGAATTACCTGAAGATGGCTTCTCTGTAGCATCAGCACAGACACTCACCTGTTTGAATGTGGCCTCAACAAGGTTGGCTGGGAACATGTTCCTGGAAAGAAATAGATAAAAGAATCATTGTCAAGGGGCTATTTAGTTACCCTTGTGGGTCCTCAGTGTCCCCCTTGTGTAGTCACCTGTGCAAAGTGAGTGCCCAGAGGGTAGAAAAGACACTCTGATCTCATAGCATTTCCTACTGGCTCTGCATGGGTGTAAATGGCTATAAAAGGCATAACAGTGGAGAACCAAGTCCACTGAGTTTAAAGTAGAGGTTAAAGGACACAATTCTGAACACCTGGTGTGGGAGTCAGGAGATCTGGATTCAATTCTTGACTCCGCCACAGACTTCTTGTATTACCTGCGGCAATTCACTCAGACTCTTTCTGGTTCAGTTTCCCATCTGCTAGATGGGAATAATCATAGAATCATAGAAGGGACCTTGAGAGGTCATCTAGTCCAGTCCCCTGCACTCATGGCAGGACTAAGTATTATCTAGACCATCCCTGACAGGTGTTTGTCTAGCCTGCTCTTAAAAATCTCCAATGATGGAGATTCCACAACCTCCTTAGGCAATTTATTCCAGTGCTTAACCACCCTGACAATTAGGAAGGTTTTTCTAATGTCCAACCTAAACTGTCCTCGCTGCAATTTAAGCCCATTGCTTCTTGTCCTATCCTCAGAAGTTAAGGAGAACAATTTTTCTCCCTCCTCCTTGTAACAATCTTTTATGTACTTGAATTATCATGTCCCTTCTCAGTCTTCTCTTCTCCAGACTAAAGAAACCCAATATTTTCACTCTTCCCTCATAGGTCGTTTTCTAGACCTTTAATCATTTTTGTTGCTCTTCTCTGGATTCTCTGCAATTTGTCCCCATCTTTCCTGAATGTGGCACCCAGAACTGGACACAATACTTCAGTTCAGACCTAATCAACATGCAGTAGAGCGGAAGAATTACTTCTTGTGTCTTGCTTACAACACTCCTGCTAATACATTCCAGAATGATGTTTACTTTTTTTTGCAATCATGTTACACGGTTGACTTAGGAAATATTATTATTATATTATTAAATATTTCTCCCACTCCTGTTATGTCTTTTTAGATTGTAAGATTTTCAGGACAGCACCCAGCACAGTGGGGCCCTCAATCTACTTCTGGGCTTCAAGGCACTACTATAATACATATAATAATGATTAATAATAGTTAATAATAATAATACTTTCTGCCACGCTTCTGTCAATCCCATTATAATTATAAGTGGGGCAGGCTCTGACATCTGTTCCCTTTACCAAGAACAGACTGCTTTTCAAAAGGAGGATCTGATTCCTGATTAAAAGACACTAAACCAGAGCTGCACAATTTCTTTAAAATGGTCACTATTTTAATGTTTATGAGGCTTTTCCGGGGCAGAAAATCAGTGTCTTTTGGAAAAATGCTAATCGGGAATTTCACCCTCCACCACTGCTGAGAGAGCGCGAGCAAAACAGAGACCTCACGCTTATGGCCTCAGAGTGAGATTCATAGATTTTTAAGGCTCGAAGGGACCATTATTATTATTGCTCTGACTTCCCAGGTAATGCAGGTCATAGACTCTTACTCACTAATTTCTGCATTGAGTCTATATCCTCTGTTTGAGCTAGACAATATCTTTTAGAAAGACTTCTAGTTTTAAGGAAAGAGGGAAAGAATGCCCGCTCCAGGCTCCAGTGAGAATTCTGTTGCTGGGCAAAAGGACCACAAAATCAAGAACTTTCTATAATACTGGGGAACAAAAAAATTCCCAGGAATTTTAAAATGTGGTAAGATTATTTTTTAAATGGATTTCTTTTCATCCTGAAATTTATAAGCCTAAAGTGAGCAATACTCTAGCATAATCTTATGCATTCATGTTCAGTTTGTATGAAAATATGTGGCTGTAATGCTCACTAAACAAAGGACTTCTCTGTTGAAAGTCCAACTCAGGTCCCAAGTCAGGACAGCACTTAAGCACATGTGTACTGTCCATCCTTACTCAGGAGAGTACTCATGCATGTGCATATTTAACTGCTGTCCCGAATAGGGGTGTTTTCCTGAACTGTGGGCCCTGTGCAATAAGGTATGCCTGCTATTTGGTAGGGTTGCAATAAGAACATTCCGTGTCGCATTAGTGTAGGAAAAACAGCTTCCAGGCTTCAGACTCTCACTGTTTTACAGATGAGGGACGCTTTAATTTCAGTTTGAGTGCTTTATATTGGTTTAACTTAAGTCAATTCCTTATTGACTCAGTCACTGTTTATAACAGACTATTGTAAGCAATGCCTGTGATTGTAAACACTGCTGTCTGTCTTCTGTGAGTTTTCACCTCCAGTGATGGTAACACAAAAGCCTAAATACTGAGATTTAGCATTTAGTTCTCTAGTCACATCTAACCCCCACAAATACTTGTGAGTGTCTGTGGTCAAATATCCAGTATGGGCCCAAAACTGTGCAATATACAGACAATACCCAGCTGTACGTCACCTTTACATCAGTTTGTGACAGCTCCTTATCCCAGCTCTCCAAGGGCCTGGCTGAGATCAGAAATTACTTGAAGAGTAGCTGCTGGAAGCTGGATCTGGGAAAGACTGGTGTGGGGTTGGTGGGGAGAGGGAAGCACTTAAAAGAACTCACCACCACCATATAAATCCCTCCCCTCCGCCCAGTGAAGGATTCTGCCCTAAGATTGTTAAGGACACCCTATCTTAATTAATGTTTGTTTTGCAATTTGAGATGATCTGATAAAAGGTGCTGTATAAGTGCAAAGTAGTCTCACTGTGATGAAATTATAACGTGCTGTGTGATGGAGAATTAATCTGCAAGGATAGATTCTCATTGAGGATTTTTATCCTTCTCTGAATATGAACCAAACATACAGGCTGTAGCTTTCAGACAGTAATGTGAATTGAATTGATAGTGCTTTCTGTCTCCTGCCTCAATACTGCAGCCCTAATTAATAGTATTAAAATCAAATTGAGACTGCTGGAGAAAGGAAATATCATGTTTAGTAGCTAGATTAAATGTTAGCCAAATTCATGGAGGATTAAAGCATTTTATTTTTTAATAATTCTTTATCCTGCAGGAATTACAACTGGTCCTCATAATACTGTAGTCTGGAATTCTTCCAATATTATATAATATATTGTCATCCGTTCTGAGCATTCTTTGAGACCGGCCTTGCTAAAGCCACCCAAATGATCTAGAGCAAGGGAGTTGACCTGAATGTGTTTGCCAATTTTTTGGTTTTTTTTTTTTTTTTTTTAAGCTGCTTTACTTGGCTTGGGAAAATCCACTATTAGCCAAAAGTTCAGCTTTCTTAATTAAAAAAAAAAAATCAAAAGTACAACTCACAAAAGGTACATCTCCTGGACAAATACGGAATAATGCTAAGGAGTATATCACCATGACGTATGGTCAGGGAAGATGAATGGGAGTTTGTTGGCTGGATCAGATCTCCGGAGAAACTACAGACAAACTCCTGCTTTAGGGACACATTCTATTACTGTACATTGAGATTTCTCAAATGGGGGCAGGAAACTCTGCAAGTTTCTGCTTCTTAGGTCTCCTTGGAATCTTTTAATTGGGGAAGTAGGGTTTGAATTTTTTTTTTACCATGGAACTTCCAGAGGCTTCAATCTTCTACATCTGTGCGTGTCCCAAGAACTGCCTGTGATATCTGCAGAGGGCATGAGCATCCCTTGCCACAGGGCTTCCTCAGAGGCCATGCTGCCTGCCACTCCTGCAAAGTTCCCTTTAAGGAAAGTTTACTGCTGCAGAGAGTTTAGTATAGCTCAGAGCCCCAGCTCTTTTATTTAACTCAACATATTACAAAATTTAAACTTATACGATATCCCAACCTCTCAATGTGCGCTTTGCCTGTCTTTATGGTTCCAATACTGCAGTCTGATCCAAGGAGTCTTGCACCCCCGCAAAGACTCATTGACGTCAATGATAACTCTGCACAGGCATAACAATCTGCCATGTGGATCTTAATGTAGGATTGGGGCATCAGACTGTAGCCGCCTCAAGGCAGGGACTGTGTCTTTCAATATTCCATGTAGAATCAAACACCTTGTCAGTGCTTACCAAGTAACAATTAATCACTCTGAGCGACTCATTGCTGTCTCCGACCATAAATGTTGCCAAGATTATTAAATAAATAGAACTAGATGCTTAAATTATTTCTTAAGTTTCCAGCATAACTCTTGGCCTTCATGGACCACAGGTGGGCATGAAAATAATAATACCAGAACCTTAAAGTGATGTGGGATTAAGTTTTTTTTTTTTTATAAGTAACCTTATCTATAAACTCAGTGGTATGATTCTTGATGGAAATAATTTACGTAATTTTTCTAGGTGTGTCATGTTTGGTACCATTGTATTTGTGGGAGAAAGGGCTTTTGAATGACACCCAATTCGACCCATTTCCAATGACACTATATTATCAAAATTTCCACCAATGGAGGACATGCAGGTGGCAGCTGATGGGGGCAGCGAGTCCCCCCGCTATCCCACAGAGAGTGACACCAATGAAATTCTGTAGATTTTTACAAATCAAATGGCACCTCCCTTACCTTTCTATCACTAACTTGCCCATGGAATGAGATTTTACGACATTGCGCTCCCAGACTGAATGGGCCAAATTCTGCTCTCTGTACCACGGGTGAACATTTGAAATAACTCCACTGACTTCTGACTATACTGTAATTTCCTCAGAATGGGCCAAATCCTGTGCTCGGTTGTATCACTGTAAATCCAAATAACTCCACTGGTGTCAGTGGATTTAGTCTAGATTTATATTAATGAAAGTGAGGGCAGAATTTGGCCCACCATGATAAAATAAATCAGTCATTTCAGTGCCCATGGGAGGATGATAGTTGCGCATCAGTGATCATCTCTATTGTCTAATCCTATTAGATAATATCACCCTCCCCCACACTCACACCTTCAGCAAAAAGGACCACAGGCTTTTCAGAATTCATGAGGTATTAAAATCCTCATTACTGTGATAAAAGACACTAATAGAATATAAAAATCACT